ACTGTTGTGCCTCGTAGATGAACTGTCGAAATATCGTTCTCTGGTTTCAATTGCCGTGAACAAATTCACTATTTTGGCATTTCATGCGCGCCGGTGAAGAAGAGCAAATGAGGGAGTTCTCATTGCTTCTTTTATAACCTGTAATATTATACAAGTTAGGCTTCTCTTATGGGGATACGGCCATATTATGTTGAAGCACCGGATCTCGTACGATCATCGAATTTTAACAACGTATACTCAGGTCAGTACCTAGATGTGTGAAAGCTTGGAAGTGGCAGATCCTGATCAGAGGCCTTGCTGTTGGACGTAGTTTATCGTCATACCCAGGACGCGGATGTAGTCTCAGTTTCGGCTTTAACTATTTTCACATAGCTGGGAACCTACAAGGTACAACCACCCCGAGTTAGGGTGGACCTGGGAACGCCAGCAATAAAGAGGTGGTTCCACGCTCCTCAAAACCTCCTGATCAGAGGCCTTGCTGCTGGACGTAGTTTATCGTCTTACCCAGAACGCGGATCTAGTTTATTGTCATATCCAGGACGGTATACTTGATAGGTTGCGTTGGCGGAGTGGAAGGGCGAATATTTAGCCATCCCTAAAAGTAGGAACCTCCACTTCTTAAAGCATAGCATGGTGAAAAAAGACGCCAAACTCAACACAAACAAAGTTTTCTCAGCAAAATGTTTCTGTCATAATTAAGATGAAAGTCCAAAGTATTTTTCATTTTCATTATTTTTTTCATTTTCATTATATTTTGAATTTTTTGAAATCCTTTCTGGTACTTTCGAAATTTTGGTTAAATATCTTCTTTTGTTTACTTTAGCGGCCGACATAATAATAACGATTATTATTTTATTTTTATTTTATTTTTGCGCCTTTTTCCGGTAAAAAACACATTGAATTGGAAATTCTTGCAAAAACCAAATAATTGTTGGATTTTAATGAAACTTTCAGAAAATATTCAGGAACGAATTAAATTAATTAAATCTTGAATTTAAATGAATTAAATCTTGGTAATGTTCTTTTGACATATGTTACCACCCACTTACTTAATTTCATGAAATTTCGAGAAATTCAATTTTTAGGACGGGGATATTTTTTTTTATTAGTTAAAACCAGGTCTCCTTAGAGAATATAAATCATCAATATTTTTTTGTATAAGAGTTACCCCATTCACAGAAAATCTGCTCTGAATTGTAAAATAAAAAATGCAATAAAACTATGACTTAATTTAATTAGAAAAGCTTTTAATTTCTTTGATATTTATTAAGGAAACTATTGTCTTAAGAAGATTTTTTTTCGATGAATAATTAATTTTTACAAGAATTGTTTTCACCTTTTAAAACTTTAATTAAATAATTTATAATATTAAAAAAACTTTTAAAATTCTGCATTACTTCAAGACGGTGGTTTGGTGATATTATTAAGTGAAAAATAAATTTATGAATCAAAAATTTAAATATGTATATATTATTTAATGAAACATGTTTTAATGGGGATATTTTGCCTAAAACACAACACACACGGACGCATATATATATATATATATATATATATATATATATATATATATATATATATATATATATATATAAATATATATATATATAGCGAAAAAAAACATATTTTAAATCAATTAATTTATAATATATATATATATATATATATATAATAAAAAAGGCTTAAACACTAATATTCCATGGTCATAATTCGGGCTTACGATCCAAATCATCAGCTTCAAAAATGAAAACAGAAAAAAACAACTCCGGAAATTTTTGAACATGGATTTAAAAAGAGGAGAGAAAGAACGGATGTCTAATACATAAAGATACATTTCGTGGTGACATAAAAACATATTTTAAATCGAAGGAAAATAAAATGTGTTTACATAATTTTATAAATATATATGAATATATATCGCAAGGACCAAATATGTTTTACACACAAAAAACATATATGTACATACACTTAGGCATGTACAAACACAATCCAGATATATATATATATATATATATATATATATATATATATATATATATATACATATACATATATATATATATATATAATATATATATAATATATATATACACACACACAAACACACACTGAAGGGGATAAAAAAATTCACATTTTAAACATATTCAGTTTCCCTTTTCATAGTATTCATACAGTCTTCTTACAATTATATATTATTTATATCAGACTTTTTGCACATATATATATATATATATATATATATATATACATACACATATATATATATATTATAAACACATTAAATTGCTACACATCCATAAAAGATTTATATAGCATAAAAATATGACATATATATTAATATTAAAATGCATTAAATTGCTGCATCCATAAAAGATTTAGAGCATAAAAAATGACATATATATTATCATTATTGGAAACAATAGATTTGTTGTGTCAATTGTATTTATTGATCTTTATTCAGCAAAGTACGACTAATGTTTCGCAAGTGTATCTGATGTGCGTGTGTGTCGAACTTCATCAGGCAAAGAGTGGATATTTCCACATATTATTAAAAGGAATTAATTTTTCTTATGTTTTTCGATGTTAAATATTTTCGATATTAGACATTTTCTTTTTTGTGTGTTATAGTGACCCAAATGTCTTTCTTGAACTGGCAGTGAAAGAATTCTGCGTGAATGGTAATAAAACAATAAAGACTGGTTCGGGAAAAAGTTAAAAAGTTATCTCTATTCTAATCTTTTAATGACCCCGGTGTGTTCTTAGATATATTTCCATTTTTTTGTGTTTTTGTCAGCATGCGTATCCATACGCATATCCCTCTCCATATATATATATATATATATATATATATATATATATATATATATATATATATATATATACTGTCTTATTATAAGGAATTAGTATACACATATACGCATACATACATACATACACATACACAAAAGACACATGCACACACACTTCCTATGTTGTGTAGGGTTCGCGTGCGTGCCCGTGAGCAGTTTTGTTTTTGTCAATATGTGTATATATATATATATATATATATATATATATATATATATATATATATTATAAGGAATTAGTATACATACATACACACACATATACATACATATACATATATACATACATATATACACACACACTTCCTAGTTGTGTAGGGTTTGTGCAGTCTATTGTTTTCGCTAATATGCGTATACATATTCGTGCTCCACATATACCATGTGTGAGTGTGTGCATATGGATGCGAGTGGTTTGATCACTGTATTTGGCCATAATGTGCATGTTGTGTGCTTTTGCGTGTGGGGTTATGATCTATTTAGTGCTGGTTTAAATTTGTTTATGAAGTTTTTGTTTTTATTTTCTGGTATTTGTAGATAAGAATAATTGTCTCTTTGTTATATTGGCATAATTTTAAATTCAACCTGGTTAAATTACATCAACATAGTGTAGACTATTTCAAGCCATTCTGTACCCGGCTACCATCAAGGGGCTGATGATAGCTTTGTACAGAACGGCTTGAAATAGACTACACTATGTTTATGTAATTTTGTTTATTATTGTTTATATATATATATATATATATATATATATATATATATATATATATATATATATATATATATGTAAGCAAATATATGGATACAGATCCGACAGTATGAAGAAAATATACAAAAAAAAAAAACAAAAAATCCTAATATGCAATTATGATGTTTTAATGTTTAATGTTAACGTCGGACGTTTCGGTCTACTTAATTATGTTTTATGAATATGTCCTGAAGATGGTCTACTAGACCGAAACGTCCGACGTTAACATTAAACATTAAAACAGCATAATTTCATATTAGGATTTTTGTTTGTTTTTTCCGTATATTTTTCTTCATATATATATATATATATATATATATATATATATATATATATATATCAAACTGGAAAATGATGATACATTTCGGTCAACCTAGTAGTGCGCTTAAATTCATAAAATGTATTTACCATAGTTGAAAGTTCATCATAATAATTACCATGAAAATATTTATAGGAAAGGAACACGGAAGCGATGTTATGGTAGCGAGAAAGAGAGTGAAACCGAAATGCCAGTTCAAGGACATTAATATTGCAGATTCCTCTGTGTATATATCTATATACAGCGATTAAGTTTATTTGTTTTATTTTTCATTGAATTTCCGAATATGGTCTTCAGTGTTGTACTCGAAATTGGCGATAAACTCTTCGAAATTCAGACTGTGGCATTATTTTGTTTAAGTTCTTTCGACAGTCCCAATCATTTTCAAGAGCCAGTGCTGTGTCAGTGGCAGGCAGAATTACTTTGTTTACATCCTGATATTCTTTAGAAAGCTAGAATCTTGAAATAGTTTATGGTAACGTCATCTGTAGCGGTTGTCGGGAACGAAGCTGCATCAAAAGGAGTGCGATAGATAGATAGATAGATAGATAGATAGATAGATAGATAGATAGATAGATAGATAATGAACAGAATTAGATAGATAGATAGATAATGAAAAGAAAATACAATATATATATATATATATATATATATATATATATATATATATATATATATATATATGAGGTATTATAACTATTTTCACTATTTATTTTTTTCTGACTGATGCCATTATCTTTATTTAATCCGCAGGAGTAATCCACTGGGTTAATCCACTGGGACATGTGTTTCCAAGGACACATGACCCAGTGGATGAAGGATTTGGTTGAAGTAATCTAATGACTTGACCCAAAGAGTTGAGAGTTCAATATCTGGCTACAAAATGACATAAAAATTTGAGTTGAGTTCCTAAAGGGAAATAACGAAAACTGAAAAGGCATCGTATGCGGAACTCAAACAATCTTCCCAGTGGACTAAATAAAGAGTTCGATTCGAAATTGCAGTGCATATCATCTGAAGAAGGCCGCAGCGTACAACAGCCGTTGTGAATATGACAATAAAGATGAGGACAACAATCAAAAATGCAGTGTTAATAGATAGATAGATAGATAGATAGATAGATAGATAGATAGAACAGACAAACAGATAGATAGATAGATAGATAGATAGATAGATAGATAGATAGATATGAGCAGGTAAAGCCATAGATAAATAGATAGATAATGAACAGACAAAGCAATAGATAGATAGATAGATAGATAGATAGATAGATAGATAGATATGAGCAGACAAAGCAATAGATAGATAGATAGATAGATAGATAGATAGATAGATAGATAGATAGATAGATAATGTTCTTATAATGTATGTATTTTATTATTTATTTAATTGTATGAATATATGCTTTTAGAGATAAGCGTACTTATCATGAATTTAATCGCTAGGCGTACACTGAAAGATATTTAAACATTATATATTAATATAAGCATATGTATGTATCGATAACTGCACTTGTACAAAAACATTTATCACAACTAAAAGAGACAGAAAAATATCTATTGCAAATGATGGATATTTGAATATAAGATAATTGCATCGGTGAACACAAGTAATTGCTTCTCACTTTCCATGAAACCTGTAGGTATGTTAAATTGTTTGGCGGAACTTGTCTCTATGTAAGGACATCAGTAAGAGTATTAATCCTGTAAACCGGCATGCGCATGTGTATCTGCGCATGTGTATCTACGCATGCTCAAAGATGTTACTGTTTTGTTTGCTTTTTTTTTAGTTCGCGGCATTTGCTTTTGTCCGTCTTTTCAAAACTATTTCGAGAAATTCAAAACAAACTACGCCAAGTAATTTATTTTGAGATGCATTATCGTCTAACTTGACATTTGACGTCCAAATCTTCTACTGTATTTTGACGCATACAGGTACGACTTAGCAGATATGAATGCAAAGGCTGAAAAGAGAACTAAAGTAAGGAGTCATTTATATAGATGGAAGTGCATATGCATGTATGTGATGTGCAGAACTTCTGCAACTGTTATCCAGACATATTTGTCGTTCGTGTCCGATCACGTCAAGAAAATCCGATAAAATAAAATATATTGGCCAGCCAGTGTATCTGCGCATGTGTATATCAAAGACAAAAAAAATGAAGAAATGAATGTAACCCGAAAGATAAAAAAAAAAAATAAATCCAAGAAAAGCAACTGATATATAATACCAATCTTTTCATATGACAGTGAATGCTGGACAATTTCCTCGCAGTTAAAATGGAGGCTTGAGGCAACAAAGATATGGTTCTATAGAAGGATGCTGAGAATACCATGAACAAAACATGTGAAGAATGAGGAAGTTTTAAGGAGCCTGGAAATAAAACAGACATTTTTTTATATTTCCAATAAGAAATCTGGGACTCGTAATAAGGAAAGAAGACTTGGAAAGTTTGAGACTCACTAGACAAATTGAAATCAGAAAGGAGACTTCGATTAAACTACCTAATTTGTAGAAATTGATGGTAAAACTGGGACTGGGAGGAAGAGTATGGATATAAATAAGACGTAGCGCTAAAAAGAATGGGATGTTGTGGAGATCCTTGAACGAGAAAATAAGGCGACAAATTTTGATTAGAGCTATCAATGTTGTGAAGGGACACAAAGTATAGAAAAAGGAGAAGAATTATCAAGAAGGTGAACATTTCAGACACAAGAGAATGGGGAAATGAAGAAATCGAAGAAAAAAAAGAGACGAGATGGAGAAGAGAAAGAAGCAAAAGAAAGAATAATTTCTAGTAAATTGATGAATTGGGCGGGGAAAAGGTGTGCAAATAAAAATGGAAAAAATATACCGAAAACCTTCCCGAGAATAAAATGTATCTAGACATATTGGAGAAGAAGAAGAAGAAGAAGAAGAAGAAGAAGAAGAAGAAGAAGAAGAAGAGTCAATTCAAAGCATTTAGAAAAGGAAGTAAACAAGACAAGGAGGAAAGAATGAAGAAACATTAGTAAAAGAAAGTAAAATGAAAAATAATAAAGGATGGAAAAAGAATGAAAAGAAGAAGAAGAAGAAGAAGAAGAAGAAGAAGAAGGGGAAGAAGAAGGGGAAAACGAGAAGGACGAGAGAAGATTGAAATGAAAAGGATGAAAACAAGACAAGAAGAAGGAACGAATGATGAAACATTAATAAAAGAAAGTAAAATAAAAAATAATGAGGCGAGGAAGAAGTTCAAAAGAAGGAAGAAAAGAAGAAGAAGAAGAAGAAGAAGAAGAAGACAATTTCAGTGACACGATTTTATATTAATTTCACAAGACTGTATCATTACTTAAAGCCTAGAGAAAAAATCGTTTTTATTATTATTATTATTATTATTATTATTTAAAGCAAGGAGATAAATTTAATACGTGCACATTTATAAACCTACCATTAGTCCGTGCATTGAATACTTTCGCCATATTTGGTCTGGTGTACTCTGCTATTCATTTAGAGGTTATTGACAAATTCCAAAGAAGAATCTGCAATGTAATCGATCTTGACTTGGCATCTCAACTTCATTCACTTTCTCACCGACATTACGTGGCTTCCCTCTGCCTTTTCTACAAATATTTTCATGACAACAGCTCCCAACTAGCTTTTTTCCCTGGTGCCCTGACTACATGAATTGAAGCGTTTTACTGTTGAAATAGTTAAATGCAATCGCCACTTCTCCTCTAAAAGTTTCTTTCCCGGCTGTCGAACTCCCTTTCGTCTACTTGCTTCCCTGAGAATTAAACTCTTCGAAAATTTAAATGTAGCATCAATCGCCATCTTCTCTCTTCATGAATCCTGTTTATCTTTTTCTCAATCTACTATATACTGAGTCTTTTCTCTTAGTGTGACTCTCTGTAACCCCCAGTGCACTAGTGGCAGCTCGCCTTACTTGGGGTGAAATGATTTTTTAAAAAAACCCTTCGAATTTAATATAGTGTCTAAAACATTTTACATCTATTGGGTGTCTTGATTTTTAACTGTTCACTTTTCTTTTCTCTATTCGTCTGTTTTTCTCCATTTCTTTCTTTTCTTCTCGTGTCTCTTCTCTACGCTTGTTCTCGTCTTTTCTTTCTCCACCCCTCATCTCTTCTCTCTTCTCGTCTCTATCTTCCTTTCTTTCTTTTTTCCTCTTCTTCCCTCCCTCCCTTCTATTTTCGTCTCCTCTCTTTCCTATCCTCTTCCCTTCTCTACTCCTTCTCTCCTTTTCTCTGTTCTTTTACCTTCTCCTTTCCTCTATTCCCCGTTTTCTCCCTCTCTATGAAATGTCTATATACTATAATTACCCATATAGAATACGCCTTCATCCATAATACGCACCCCAAACTTTTTGCTAAAAGTATGGGAAAATGCTTCTACTCACGCATAATACGCACCCCCTTTTTGTAATCAAACCCTATCAATTGTACCTATCCAATTTCATTATATCCAGCTTTTCCTACTCTTATTAAAAATGGTTTTAAACATGGAATAATATTATTCTAGTTTAATTTTATAATAATTCTTATTTTATTTTACATTTGTAAGTATTGTTATGTGCATATGATTGTATTTAACATCATTATGAGGTCGCAATCGTCGAATTTTAGTGTCAAATTGTCGTATGTTTGTGGTGAGTAGTCATTTCGCAACTGAAATCGACTTATGAAACAGCAATATTTTGAGGTGTTTTATAGCTGTGCATAATACGCACACCTAATTTTGTTTATTATTTTTTAGAAAAAAAAACGTGTATTACACATGGAGAATTACGGCATTTATATTTCAAAATTCTATTGTAGATCTTTTACTTTATACGTAAATTGTGTTTACTTCAAACGTCTTTCTTTCTCCTTTTACTCTCTTCGATAATTACTATGCGTTTTTACTAGATAGTTACACAACTTAACATAGTCTGGCACAATGCCACAAATACGGAGCACCCTTCAGAAACTAACTCACGCAATACTTACTGCGCCTGTGTGATCTAATTCCGTATTCTACAACGGCACTATTTTTGGGAGAAGATCTTTATTGATTGATTTGTTTTTACGACTTAGAAACAGGAAAATTTCTTTAGAAACAAAGAAAAGAGTACGGAGATGTTACATAAGAACACTCCTCTGCTCAGATGATGAAGAATCTTGAAGCAACAGAAATGTGGCTCTACAGAAAGATGCTGAGAATACAATGAAGTTTCAGAAAGAATGGGAACAAAAAGAACACTTATAAATAGGATCAGAAAAAGACAGTTGAAGACTCTGGTTCACATAATATTTTTTATTGATTTTTTTAACGGTTTATCAACCTTTTGTAGGTTATTTAAAGCCAGAAAAAAATTTTATTATAAAATTTTTTGTAGACAATAATGACTTTTACGATATTGAGTCACCCCCCCCACGAGGGTGTCATGTGGCACAAGGCCTTTTTAACGTGGGCATTCCGAGCCTGTGGGCTCGGCCCAAAATATGCCCATTGAACCCGTATAAACAGGTTCATGGTCGGTTTACTTCCCCGAAGGAGACTCTGTCTTTTACAGATACAAATTCTACTAATTAACCCATAGCTGGGGGAAGAAGTGGATTCGTGCCTTTCCAAAGAGTATTGCGTATAACTAAATATAATGAATCCAACTGGAATTGAAACTGGGCTCTCCGATTTCCAATTTACTCCGTAATCCTTTATAACACCAACACATCAAAGCTTAAACTACCCGGTATACCCAAGCGGTCATCCCTGTAAATACTAACCAGGCTTAACATTGCTTATCTCCAGTGATCGTAAGAGGAACGGTGTTTCAATGCCATATGGCCGTATGCCTTTTGGTCGTAGAGAAAATCACATAACTGGATATCTGTGGTCCAGGCCTTTACTTACCTAAACTTTCTTCATCACTGATCAATGCCTGAGTTTTCTCCAGTAACGATGAACAGTTGTACGATCAAAGAGGCCCCATGATTTGAACGACAATTGTAACTCCCTAGACCTCAAGTGGAACGATTCATTGCTAAAGATGCTGCAAAAATGTCCGGCTCATTCTACGGTTTCAAAAAATACCTCACTCCTTCTACCTCGCTTTATCGTTACAAGAGTCAGATTAGACGAAGTAAATGAAAGAACAAAGCTCAACTTAAACATTGTTTACTCGGTGTTGTAGTTAATGACATATTTTCAACCCTGCCGCCTCTTTCTCCACAGACTAAAACATTGCAAGCTTATCGGTACTTCCAGGGCGAATGTTCACATTAGCTCCACTCTTTACTTCCATCAGTTCCCGGATTTTATAGCTAGGGATTGCCATGCTACCACCATGGAACCAAATCACCAACGTTTCCTCCGTATTCCAACTGTAAGGAGGAAATTCCTCCCAAACGTTTTTCCTCCCTACAAACAGCTGCTTTATGGAACCAACTTCCATGTGGATGCTTCCCTGAACACGTTATTTTTGACTCCATCAAGTCAAGAGCCAATCACACTTTTGATACGTTTAATTATATATAGTACCTTCTCCATCATTTTCACAAGACATTTTTTTATTTCAGCCGAATTTTCATCGTTCCTAAAATAAAAATTATAATACGATAAAAATATATTTCTTATTTACTCCCATCAAAAATTTAAAATCAATACGCCAAAATACGAGAATCTTGAAATTTAAAAACTAACCTGTCACAATAAAAGCTAAAAAGCGATTATTCTGAATTCATTTAGATGAAACTAAACTCACCTAATGCGATCTAATCAGATATAAAAATAAATTAATATTTTGAACAATCCATTACAATTAAAAAAGGATAGTTGATAACATTAAAATTTCAAACCAGTGTCTTTTATCATGTCAATGACAACAAAACAAAGATATGCATATAAAACAAAAATAAAAATAAAACGAAACAAAGAAAATGGCCCCAAACTTAAAACATTACGATACAGCAGAAAGGTTCTTATGCCTTTTCTTAGTCATCCGTTGAAGACCTCAGATTACTTTCTTCAAAAATAATTCGGCGTTCATATCAAATAACCGTCGACACAGGGTGGGAGCTTTAACTGAATTTTTTTTTTTAAATTAACAGCTGCGCATGCGTACCTCGGATCTCTACTAAAATATGTTGATTGAAATAATAAAGAAAAAATAACGTTAAACAAACGTACAAAAAGAAATAGAATCAAGTAAAAGGGAAAAGGGAATTTGCACTTCCATTGGCTCATATTTTTCTTCATTCAATTCACGTACGGATATGTGTTTTGATTTGTTTATTTCTAAAAAAAAACTTCATATTTCAACACGCTGTTGTGAATCCATTGGATTACATATATATATATATATATATATATATATATATATATATATATATATATATATATATATAGTGAGGGGTTCTTGCATTTTTACTTGAAGAATTTTGAAAAAAAAAAAATGTTAGGTGCCAAATGAAATCTGTATTAACTGAAATTCTTGGCATGATATTCTTCTGTTTTCTCCTACTCCCTTACCGATAGATGTCTTCCCTCTTTCTCTCCTTCCTGCCACTCCTCCCTTCCCTTCACTTTTTATTTTATTTTCTCTCCTCTATTCTCATCCCCACTCCTCTCCTCTCTGCTCATATCCACTCCTACTCTCTTCTATACCACTCTCTTATCTTGCTTCATCTCCAATATCCATTGCTTTCTTATTTTATCTTCTCTCACCCTGTCTTCTCTTCTGCTTGTCCCCTCCTCCTTTCTCTTTTCATCTCTTCTTTTTTCTTCTTCTTTCTTCTTTTCTTGCGATTCTTCTCTACTCTTGTCCTTTTCTTTCTATTTTCTCTCCTGCCCTCATCTTTCTTCTCTTCTCTTCTTTTCTCTTTCTCTCCTTTCAATTGTTCTTTTACCTTCTCTTTTCCTCTGTTTCCATTTCTCCCTCTCTATGAAATATCTTTATATTTATATTTCAAAATCTTATTGTAGCTCTTTTACGTAACTGTGTTCACTTCTCAAAGTTTTTTTTTTTTTCATTTTCCGATTAAGTTCTTTGTTTATATTAATTACTACACGTTTCTCTAGATATTTACACCGCTTGGCATAGTCTGACACAAGGCCACAAATATAGAGCACGCATTTAGTCCTCACTTTCCCGGTATGTCAAAGTTCAAAAGTTTTTACATACCCTTGTCCGTGATGAATTATTTTCTATGCTATTCCTTTCTTACAGCCGAAACGATTCTAGTCTCGCAATTCTATCGCTATTTTCAGAAAGCAAGAAAAAATAAGTAACTGTTAAATGCAAGAAGACAAAATGCATAGTCCGTAGTAAAAAAGATAGCACACGGTTTAAGAGAAAAAATTTAGAAATGTCAAAATCAAGAGGTGTAATATTTTAGGAGGGAAAATGTGATACAGAAACACAAAAAAGAAATATGCCTTCCAAAAAATAATCAAAGTATTAAGACATAGAATTTTTCTTTTCAAAAAATGTGACTAAACGTTATGTAATATATAATCTCGTAAATGCTCGACAAATTCTTCACAGATGAAAAATAGATTCGACAGAACAGGGATGTGGTTGTACAAACGACTGCAGTCAATAATATGGACTGAACATGTGAGGAAAGAGGACTTTGTTACTAAAAAGGGGAACTAAAAACAACAAAAAAAACACTTATAATTTTTTGTGATGCCAACGAATACTCATTGTCACTTTCGTAATGCTCGTTATAGTAGAGACTTTGTAATCGCAGATACAACTATAGTAACGCCGTTTAACAATACTGGTGTCAGACGCCTTCGAATAACACTCGCACTAATAGTATTTTCTTGATAATACTCGCTCTAATAGTAACCACTGAATAGTGATCCGTATAGTGATAAGTATAGAGTCATGTAAAAATAGGGAATAGTATAGAGAATAGTGATACGTATGGTAATAGAGTATAGAGTTGAGATAGCGATCCGAATAGTAATAGAGGATAGAATAGAAATAACGATCCGAATAGTAATAGAGGATAGAATAGAAATAACGATCCGAATAGTAATAGAGGATAGAATAGAAATAGCGATCTGAATAGTAATAGAGGATAGACTAAAAATGACGATCAATTAGACACACGCTACCTCCCATATATGCGTTTCCTCTATGGTCACGTGGTCTAATTAATTCAATAATGGGATCGCCCGTGTTTGCTCACTGGCGATCTATGTTCAAACTCAAGTGTCGGCAGCGACACTTTATTCCTCTATAACATAATTAAAAACCAAAAATAGGCAGCTGAATTTCTTGGAAACATGATGGCGAAAGATGACTTGGAGAATTTAAGACGTCCAGGGCAAACTGAAATCAACAGGGGCAGAGAGAGACTGCAAGTACCATAAATGAATTTGTGTGGATGAATGTCATAGCGGGAACTTAGAGTCAAACCTTGCTACATGGAAATGAAGTTGTGGAGAGCCATAATCATCCATCTTGTAAAGGGTTCCGGCATATAAAAGAAGTGTCTCTAATTATCAACAATCACCCAATATTTGTAGGCTTATGTGAAATTTCGGAAATAACTGTCTGAAAATCCTGCCAACTATAAACGTCATATTGGAGCAAAATAGATATTTACTAAGCTTAATATCGGCAGGCACAAGGCCATAAGTTTTGAGCGTCGATTGAATAACAAATATATTTTCGTACAAGAAGAAATAACATAAATATGTTTTGTCTGTAAGTGAATTTCTGTTTATGCTAGCATACTGCGCATGTGAGTGTGTGGATATTATGTATATAAGCGCCTACCGTAATGTTTATTGCATATTAAGAAGAAATTATATGGAAGACAAACTAACCATCCCTTAAATTCCGACATTAAGGGCTCCTTTGTTCTTTTTTGCTTCCACGCATAAGGATTTTATTGTAACGTAGTTAAATCGCTACCGTCAGCCCCTCTCTTTTCCTTCTTTTTTTTTTCAGCCTCTTTTTCTCTTTCCAATTTCGCATCAGTTGATATAAAACCTCTTATTATTCAAGTCAGTCTTGATGAGTTCTTCAATATTTTGCCATTCCGCTCGTTTTCTTTTCTTCTTACTTGTTGACACCGAAATCAATTCTAGGAATTTATATGCACAGTTCAACATAACACGCACGGACAGGAAAATATATGAAAATCTCTATAAAAACGTTCTGGATGAGAGTACAGAGATAGATAGATAGATAGATAGATAGATAGATAGATAGATAGATAGATAGATAGATAGATAGATAGATAAAAATAGAAGGAAATAGATTTTAACAGGCTAAGATAGATAGATAGATAGATAGATAGATAGATAGATAGATAGATATGAATAGAATGAGAGAGAGCTAGCTAGTTAGCTAGATAGATAGATAGATAAAAATAGAATGAAATACAATGAAATAGATTTTAACAGGCTAAGATAGATAGATAGATAAAAATAGAATAAAATAGATTTTAACAGGTTAAGATAGATAGATAGATAAGATGGAGAGGATATTAACAAACTCAGATAGTTTGATAGAAAGATAGATAGATATGAACAAACATAGATAGATAGATAAAATAGAGATTTTAATAGGCTTAGATAGATAAATAGATAGACAGATAGATATATATGAACAAACTCAGATAGATAGATAGATAGATAGATAGATAGATAGATAATGAACTTAACTAGATATTAAGAGAATGCGATACTAGCTAGCTAGATAGATAGATAAACAATTCGCTTGCACAGTCGTTCGATGCAGAAATGAATTGGTGAAAGCAAACCTTTCAAACGAAAGCGGAGTTTTTCTTCTTTTCATTTGGGACGCGCGCGAACCGATAAACACAAACATTCACATATAACATCTACGTTAATTGCGAAAACATTCAAGTCGGATCAGTTTTCACCGTTGCACGAGAGAGTGTCCTCGCGGATTTGAATACCTTTCTTTTTTCTGTATATAACGAGAATCCTTTTCAAACAATGAGTTCTCGTTCCTCTGTGTGCGGGGAAAAGATGGAGTACGTGCTTGAATTAACTCAAAAAATACAACTGTTTAGCCGATCATCCGATAAAATGGGTTTTTACTACTCGCTTGTTTCTCGTTATTGGCGGTCTTTTTCTTTTGTGCGCATGTGTGCGTAAAATAAAAAAAAAATGGAATAAAATAATCGAAAAAGAAGGGTTAGAAATATCAATAAGATATTCCCAATGAAAAAAAAATGTGGAGGTGGGGAGAGGAAAATTACAGAGTAAAAATAAGCAGGTTCTAACGATGCGCGGGAAAAAATTAGATACGGTGAGAGATGAATGGTTGGACATGGTACAATTTTGTGTCGTATTTTGGTGTATTCTATGCAGATATAGAAATACATATGCATACAGACACACACTCACACACACATCTGTCTACCTATCTATCTATCTATCTATATATATATATATATATATATATATATATATATATATATATATATGTTGTGGTAGGATCCACCTAATTTGCATAGTGGAGTACCGACCATATAAATATGGTTGGTACCGTGAAGAGAGGGCGGAATCAAGAGATTCAATCCAGAGACTCTGCCCGACTGCGACTCAGTCAACACATTCTCCAGGAACGGTCTTCCCAAGAATATACAAAAGACTATATGTAAATATTGTGTACACTTTCTTGTTCAATACATTTTGTTCTAAGTACATTTTGTGTTGCATTATTATTCCATGCATTAGTCAAGTTTCAACAATATATATATATATATATATATATATATATATTTGTGTATTTAGGCAGCAAATTCTCTTTTAGGCATGTCTGATTGAATGAATTACAGACATGATGTCTGATAATTTTTAATAAAATCCGTTCATATTCACGAATAACCTTCCGTGTATTGATGTTAAAAAATGAGAAAAATGTGCTCTAGCTGTTCAAATTTCTTTTATTTTCATTTCCCAAGCACATAATGTCTGTAATTTATTCAATCAGACATATACATACATATATATATATATATATATATATATATATATATATATATATATATATATAAAAAAAAATATAGAGGTTAATGATTTCTCATTAATGTATTCTCGCCATTTAAATCATTAACCTCTATATTTGTTTTTTGTATGAATGATTCATGAATTTTATATATATATATATATATATATATATATATATATATATATATATATATATATATACAAACACACACACACACATATATCTATATAATTAAGGATTAGTTTACTTTTAAATATTAATTTTTTTCTTGTTTTCCCGACTTCGAAGTTTCTTGGTAAATTTACGTTCTTCAGGGGTTCTGGTCGTATATATATATATATATATATATATATATATATATATATATATATATATAAAAGGAAAGAACAATAAGATATAAAATCCGGTGTTCTTATAGATAAATTCGCTTGAAGATGAAATGGAACTAATGCTTTTAATTTAATTGCAAAATTAAATTCGAGGGTTTTTGCTTCTATTTTTGAAACATGGTTGGAACTGTGTAGCGAAAAAAACCATATTTTAAATCAATTAATTTATAATATATATATATATATATATATATATATATATATATATATATATATATATATATATATATATATATATAAATTGGGGCGCTGGGTCAAGTGGTTAGAATGTTCTCTCTCCGACGGAGACCCGGTTTCGAATCGTCTCATGGTCGATTTATCAGGAAGGTGGTTTCTTGATGTTATCGACCTGAGGAAGCCTGCCTAGCATGCGGCACTTTTGGAAAGTCAGTGAAAAAATATATCCGGTTGACTCAAGACTTGTGAGTGAAACTGGGTAAACGAAACTATTTGTCGATCGTTGCGCAAGCAGAAAAGTCCTAAATCACCCTGACCGAGGGTTTCAGCGTACTGACCTTTTTTCAGACTCCGCCAGATAATGCACTCTTTCCTAAAAACTGTAACTATGGCCCGATCACCACAGATGCACTACAAAGCACGGGCGGGCGCTTTGTGGGTGGTGAGCATACACAAATGTTTCTGAGCATACGATTGGCTAGCTGCTCTAATAGATAGGCTTATTCGAAGGCGAGCGGCCAGCCAGCACACACACACACACACACACACACACACACACATACACACACACACATACACACACACATCTATGCTGCTTATATCAACAATCAATATATATCCGATTTTAAGCAACTTTAAATATTGCCAATATTATGCAATATATATATAGTGTAGACATAAGAATCAATACTGCAGTTTATCATCTGCGCGATCTTAACATCTACTCCGAAGATCATGTTGTGCGAAAATTACAGTCAACATCCAGTGGTAATTCTGATGTCCAGACTATCTGTATATATATATATATATATATATATATATATATATATATATATATATATATATAAAAACTCTGACTCTGATACTGAGCACTCTTTCCACATAAATATAGCAAAATTACATACACACACACACATAGATAGATAGATAGATAATGAACATACTGAGATAGATTAGATTGATAGCTAGAAAAGCTAGATAGCTAGATAGCTAGATATATATAAAAACATGGATTATTATAAGGAAGGTTCAACGTCTCATCCGATAATACCAACATTCGCCTCTAGTGACGTACTCCAGGATAATATGTGAGGCGTTATTTTCAAAGCAACTCTCGTTTGTATGTTTTGTGTGTGTTTGCTTGCATCTATTTCTATTTCTCTCTCGCTCTCTCTTTCACACACACACACACACAATCTATCTATCTATCTATCTATCTACACACACACACGTATGTGTGTGTCTGTGTTTGTGTATGTATGTATGTATATTATAAAGACGAAAATTAAACCTTCCTTTACTAACGCATCTCGTCCACTGAGGGGCTTTATCAAGGTAAATGTAGAGATTATATTTTGTAAATTTTTTTATATACACAGAAGAAAGTGGGAAAAATGTCTTTAAATTTTGAAATTTTAAATTTGAGAAGGCTCTAAACTATTCTTAAAGATATTAGTGTGATGAAAGTTAAACTATGGAATACGCTAATTGATGAAATGTAGTGACATATAAACAAAGGTGAGTTTTGGGTTTTTTTTAAGGATATATATTATTATCTAGAAGATATTGTTCTATTTTAGGAGAGTAAAACTTGTCATGATCATTTTTTGTTTTGACAAAATCCCTCTACAAAAGTGATTCCAGTATTTGATTCCGGAAATGATCTTGAATTTGACCAAAATTCAAACCATTCCCATGTTGAGAGCTATTTCTCGAATATATTAGGTTTCGTCTATTACGAGTTCTTAAAAACAAACAGACACTAACAAAGGGTCTTTCTTGTTATGAACGAGTGAAAATGGAAGATTTTCCCGGGAAAAGATTGACACTCTCTGGATAACAGAAATAATATTTTTTCTTCAGCCTACACTTAAACAAATAAACACAAGAGGGGATCAAATTTTTAGAATACGATATTTTATCGGATCTTCTTGACTCATCAAGTGTGACGTTTAAAGATTTCCATTTAATCAAATCAATAAAAAACATTTTCGATATGATTTCTTTAAAGTAGAAAAGAAAACATATCAAGGCTATCAAAAGAATTTGGGGGGGTCAGAATCACAGAATATTTAACAAAAAATAAAAAATTAATTTCACCGTCGATATTTTTTTTTTCCATTTCTAATACTAATGTTCTCCATAAGACATGTTTTCATTTAATAACAACAGTCGAACTTCTTTGTTTATTTATAGACTCTTTGAAAAAGTACACAGGCGTGTTCGAAAATTCCGACTTCCTCTTCGATCTTCGGTTTAGTCATATAACAAACATCATCAAACTTATTGCTAATATTGTTATCATTTTGATGTTTTTTATTCCTCAAATTCCATGAACCGGCCTATTAACTGTACATATAAGATACATGTATGGACCGTTTTTTTTTATATATATATATATATATATATATATATATATATATATATATATATATATATATATATAATGAATTTCACTCAAAGCCACAAGCACGCAAGGCGTTACAGACAGTGAAAATAAGAGTAAAGGCTGTTTGAGGAAAGGAGAAAGAGAAAGACGGGGATCAAGATCAAGGCATCAGAAGATGTCGATTGACATTACATTTAAATTTTTGAAGATTATATTTAAGTATGGAAGCAAGTAAGAGGAAGGAATTCCACCGCCGGGAAGTGCGAGAGAAGAAGCTTTTGGAGTAGAAGAGGTTGTTACATTTAACTGCTATATATATATATATATATATATATATATATATATATATATATATATATATGTGTGTGTGTGTGTGTGTACATTGTTAATTAATTCTTTGTAATTGATTTCTTTTATATATATATATATATATATATATATATATATATATATATATATATATATATATATATAATATAAAGAAGTAATTACACAAAGAATTAAATAGCAATGTTAATGTGATTATTGGTGACATCCCGTCGCTAACAATTAAAAAGACTTAATGAAACATGGACTTACAATTAATTCCTTGAATAACGCGATCCTGATATTTAAATTTTTGAACAGATGGAATTAATGATATTGTGCCTAGTACTTTTGACAATTTCAAATTGTCATCTTCAGGATGGAATATTTCCATTAAGAGTTAAACTCCAAGACGAAATAAATGCAGTGTAGACCAAAAGGTGTTTTTTTTTTAAAATATGCTATTTATTGACAGTTATATTATTTTGGAACGTGAAGTGTCGCAACGCCAGAGTTCTTGTTTAAATGATTTTAGTGAGAATTTAATCATGTGATAAATCTACTATAACATTTTACTCTATTGATTTAGTTAAAGTGACATGGACTAAATTATAATCCAATTAATAGTAAGTTAATGTCTCATTAAGACATATTAATTGTTGGCGAAGAAATTTTGCCATTAATCACATTAACATTGCTAAATAATTTTTTGTATAATTATTTCTTTATGATTTTTATATATATATATATATATATATATATATATATATATATATATATATATATATATGCACAAATTTATATATATATATATATTTATATATATATATATATATATATATATATATATATATATATATATATATATATAGAGAGAGAGAGAGAGTGATAGATAGATAGATAGATAGATAGATAGATAGATAGATATTAGTAGTATATATATATATATATATATATATATATATATATATATATATATATAAATTTCAAGAGGATAGAATCCAAGAAGAGTTCAATGTAAAGGACAGAGTAAGAATCTAATATAAAAGTCTCAAACACTAATATTCCATGGTTATAATTTATTACATTGGAATCGTAATCACGATCCAATTTATCTGATGGATTGGATCGTGATTACGATTCCAATGTAATAAATTATAAACCATGGAATATTAGTGTTTGAGCTGTTTATATTATATATATATATATATATATATATATATATATATATATATATATATATTGTGTGTGTATGTGTGTGATGCTCAGTGTGTGCGCATATATAGAAGGGTTGTTCCTGAAAGATATGTTTGCTATTTTATTATGTTGATGGTGGTTAGGAAGTAGAAATTAAACCTTCCCGCCAAAATCACTAAGAGTATGTTTGGTAATTTTGTACCTGACATTTGTGTTTCGTTATTTTTCTAAGTGAAAACAGTCTACCAGCCTTGAAAATCTGCTTCCGGGACTCAAACCTCGCCCCTGGCGCTACAAGTAAACAGGTAATCTCATTCGCTAGCAAATTTGTTTCATTTAAAATTTGAGCATTCAGTGAGGAGATTAACTTGTTAACCATCACTTCTGGCAGATACCTAAAGAATATTTGCAATAAACGAGATTGCGAATAAAAGTGATGTTGACGGATTTTCGCCTGAAAGAAAGACAAGTTAATAGAAAAAGAAATGTCGAGGGGGAAAATTGGTCAAAGTTTGAGAGGAAGATGAATGGAGAATGGAGAAAAAATGGTTGATAATGTTGGAGAATATAAAGAAATGGTAAATCAATTAGACTCTCGAAGGAAGAGAAAGAAGAGACAAGGTTAAGAAAGAGAAAGAGAAATAAGAAGAAATGAACGGAAAAAAAGGGAGATAATAGTGGAGAGAAAAGTAAAGGCGAAAAACCTGAAGTAAGAGACGAAATGGTCGAAACTGGAAAGAAGATGATAACGAAGAAAAAGAAGACGAAAGACAAGAAGAAGAAAAAGAAGAAGAAAAAGAAAAGAAAGAAGAAGAGAAAGAAGAAGAAATTAAAACGACGAAGTAAATAGTATGCAAGTAGAAATAAAAGTAAATAGAAAAATAGAAGAAAAGAAGGAAAGGAGATAGCAGAGAGTGTATAATCACGAGAAGAAGAAGAAGAAGTTAAAGAAGAAGAAGAAGAAGAAGAAGAAGAAGTTAAAGAAGAAGAAGGAGGAGGAGAAGGTGGAGGAAGAGGAGGTAGTAAAAGGAAAATAAATAAGAGATAAGAGCAAGAAAGAAGAGAGAAAAAGAGAGGGTAAAGTTAACAGATGATAAGGATAGGGTAAGATGAAGGAAAAAGAAAATAAAGAAAAAAGGAGTAGGAAGAAGAAAACAAAGAAAACAATGAAGGATGATGGAAACAAACAAAAAGAAGTTGATGATAATGACGACGAGGGAAAATCATTGGACAATTGAAGAAGAATAAAGACAAGCAAAAAAAAATAACTGAAACATTTTAAAAGAAAGAAAAAGATAAAAACGACGAAACATAAGAAAATAAAAAAGTAGATATATATGACAAAGAAATGCGAAAATATTTAACGATACGAAGAAAAAAATAAACTAGCGCCGAAAAAATACGATAAACTAAATGAAAAATGAAGGAAGCAGACGACAATTGAAATAAAGGAAGAAAAAAGAAAAAAGAAATGAATCAAACATTAAATACGACCATAAAACAAAAAGGAAATGAAATCGAATTAGAAGAACGAGGAAAGTGAAACGACGAAAGAAATCTGTATGCATTGTGAATAAATTGTAAATGCAATCCCCAGTCTTTTAGAGAAAATTGCTCAAAGAACTAAAGAGTCATGATTTCAAGTCAAGCGTAGAATCTCCGAACAGAGCAAGTGGCAAATAAAAGGACAAAATACATGCGAATAAGATCGACAAGAACAACGCAATGATAAAATAGGATTAGGAATAAAGAAGTGCTTCAAAAGAAAAAATAAATAAATTACTAAGTGCGGCAATGAAAATCAACGCTTAACCGGACTATTATTTGGAACGATTCCCTCGAAATTTGCTTTTTTCCCCCTTTTTCCCCTTATTTCATTGTTGCTGGGAGATTATCACATTGACATCACTATTTGATAATGCCTTTTCGTACACCATCAATTCATTTCTGTGAGGGTATAATGCAATGTGATTTTATTGGAATATAACGATAAGTACATCGTGTACATAGACAGATACATTCACTAGCCGAATGTTTACACCAGTGTTTAATAGTTGGCAAATTTTGCTGGAGATCATGTGACAGCAAGTCATTATTTTTTTTTTTTTTAACCTTAGATCCAAAGATCTCAGCTCATCTATGGTATAATCTAAAAAAGACACAAAAATATATATATATATATATATATATATATATATATATATATTATCATTAGTGTTTCAACTATATATCTTATCATTAGTTTTTAAATATATGCATACCTCAAATAAATTTATATATAAATATTAAATATATCTAATAGATAGATAGATAGATAGATAGATAGATAGATAGATAGATAGATAGATAGATAGATAGAGTATTGATAGGAATCCGACAAAATCCTAGGATAAAGAAAGAGTAGGAAACAGAATTTAATTTATTATGTTTCAAGTTAATAAAGCTTCGTTGGAAATCAAGATACAAATGATAAAAAAACAAAGAAACGCAAATTAATGCTATGTTGTGTTTGGCTATTTCTTATTGCTTAAATACGTGTCACGTGTTATGAAGCGACAGATAATACATACATACATACATATATATATATATATATATATATATATATATATAATTTATTCGAAAATTATAACATAAATATGTTATAAAATCACGGACAAAAATAGCCATTTTGTTTCAACACTCCTTGTGTCTTCTCAAGTGATGGTGTTGAATGTTGAATAAAAAACCATTATTCGACATTCAACACCACCACTTGATAAAACACCAGAAGTGTTGAAACAAAATGGCTATTTTGTAGTGATTTTGTTATATATTCATGTTGTAATTTTCGAATAAATGATTATAATTGCTCTGCTCTGAATTGAGCACTCTTTTGAGAATCGTATTTTTTGGTTACTGGAATTTATTCCGTATACACTAATCCTAGTAAGGTTTGAATGACTTATAGAATTTTGCTTTGACATGCCCATTAGGGTCAGATATTCGATGATCGAATATCTGGCCGTAATGAGATTTTCCACGCAAAACTCTTGAGTTATTCTATAACATAAGTGATTTGAAGTATTTTTTTAAATATTTTCATTCATTCTCTTTTTTTGTTGTTGTTGTTGTCGCGATTTTGTTCTGCTAGCCTGAAAATTTTCGTAACTGTCGTATCGTTTTAGTTGCATTATATATATATATATATATATATATATATATATATATATATATATATATATATATATATATATATATATATATATATATATATATATATATATATATAATGTAACTAAATATATAACGCCTTATTTTGTTGGCTAAGTAATATTTCTTTTGTTCTACCCCGCTGAACAGTTTTATGTGTGTCTTCTCTTTGAGAGATTGTGGCCAGTCGTAAAATCTAAAATGGTTATATTGAAAATGTTGTGATCAAAGCTGATATGTCTAAGTATTTTGGCAATCGTATATATCAGGACAATGAAATCTTTTATACTTAGATTATTTTAATATATTATTAAAAATATCAATACTGATTACTTTCAAGTTGTAATATAACTGCCATATTTTTATCACTTTTCGTAATAACTGAATAATTTAATTTGAAAAGCTTCCAATAATATAATAGTTTGTTATTCATTTCCATATTTCCTATTCTATATGTCATTTGATATGCTCTATATTTGTTATTTGATATGGCATTTGTGTGTATATATATATATATATGTGTGTGTGTGTGTGTGTGTGTGTGTGTGTGTGTGTGTGTGTGTGTGTGTAGTCATCCACAGACAGAGTGTATCACAGCTCATCAGTGTGGCTAGACATGCAATTGCTTCAAGCCGAGTTCAAAACCCGACCGATTTGACATCAGTCGGGGACTGTCACCCTTAGGCCATCAGCTCACGCAGCGGAGAAAGGTAATGCTTTAACACCTTATATACGAGATGTAAGCATTACTGGATACCAGCGAAGAGATTTTAGCGTTAATATCAGCAGCCGACAAATTCCCTTTCCTCCAAAGTGCTCAACCTACGAAAGGGGGACATATATACATACATACATATATATATATATATATATATATATATATATATATATATATATATATATATATATATACCATGCGTATATCCAATATGTAACAGCAAAATTGTTAAAAGCGTGTAACAGCAAAATTGTCCATTTGTTAGATTAAGATTGGAACCATTCTATTTTAGACATGATTTCATTAACAATCAGAGTATTACTGAGTGGGAAAGAATTTAAGAAAAACATTATTAAGAACAATAAAAGAACAGAATTTAAGAAAACAGAAGAAAATGAATTCTTGAAGATTAATCTTGACTGGAAAGCAAGAAGGCAGCGAAGAATTCCAAACGCGAAAAGTGGGAGAAAAGTAACTGTTACCATAGAACTTTAGCCATTTCGACTATAAAAGAATGAGATCTTGCTACCAATCTAGTAATGTGCTTACATTCATAGAGTCTAGGTACTATAGCGGAGGCTTCTTCAGAACAATGAAAGTATTGATAGTAAACACATCAGGAAGCTACATTCCGGCGTTTGGAAAATGACTGAGGTCGAGATGCCAGGTCAGGATTAATAATATCACAGATTCTTTTTTTGGATTTTATTAATATTCTCTAAATATTTATCAGACGCACCAAACCGTATCCGGCAGCAATATTCTAAGCATCGACGAATTGTAGACTGATAAATATGCAAAGTAAGTGGTGAGAAAAATAAATGTCTAGTACAAAACAGTGAACCAGTTTTCTAATCAGCAGACCCAGATATCGATTGGTATCACTTTTCCAGTTCATGTCAATGAAAAACGTTAGCCCGAATAGGTGCAACATGCTGAGAGAACGTAAAAGCGGTCTTTCAAACGATTAATAGATAGACGTTTTGTTTTGGATGCGTTAAAGTTAACAAGCCATTCTTTGCCCCAGTAAACAACTGAATATAGAACATCTTTTAGAACAGTTGCCAAACTGACCTGATATTAAGACAGGAGTAAACAGTTTTGCCATCAGCATAGATACCAAGTTGAGAATTAATAATATCAGGAAGGTCATTTATGAAAATTAGGAACAATACAGGTCCAAGGGTAAAAGCTTGGCGGACGCCTGCATTACTGAAAAAAAAAAGACAGTTCAAGACAATTTTCATTGTCCCGATTCGATAAAAAAGACTAAATCAGTTGAAAAATTTATCCAGAAATACCTTTCAAGTTGTGAAGCAGACCAATATATATATATATATATATATATAAGATATCTACTTAGTAAAATGCTCGAAGACCAGTTTGCCTAGATCCAGCACCCCCCAGCACACACACAGAGGATATAGAGAGAGGCACCTCGACGTGGAGTAATAGTTAGAAAGATTTACTTTTTAGATCAGTTTCGACTGAGTAGTGAGTTCGATTCTCACTGGGTACCCCATACTTTCAGCCTTGTCCCACATCTATGCTGCGCTGATATATGTACTTTTTTCAATCTGCATAATGTATCTGTATGGTATATATAAACCTTATTTATTCGCTACTCCAGTTTGAATTAATCTTCAATTTTTGAGCAGACATACATGCAAACTTTGCATCTCCAATTCCTCAAGTGTAGATTCTTGTGCTTTGAGCATATTTACAAAATGGAAAAGTTTTAACATGCCTTATTTTAATTGTCTATATATTCCTCCATTTTGGAGCAAGTTTCTGCTATCTTTTCAATCAAGTATTATAAAACCTACACATTTTATAAAGTTGGCTTTTTCATATATTACGTGTTTCCTCCATTTATTCACATAGTCGAAACCAAATAGATTACACATTTGCCAGTTATTATTATGAAAATATTTTGACCTGGGCATCTTCAATAATTCCGTGCCAGATCATAAATAATGACTAAGGCAAAGCGAAGGCTATGATTTTTTTTTGTTTCTTTCAGATTAATCAAAAATAAACTATTAACAAAAAAAAAATAAATAAATGGACAAAGATTTCGCAGAATATGGGCTTTACTTAAGTTCTTTTCATTATCGGACCCAGAGCTCCAACCACAACGGGAACACTTTCAGTATTTATGACTCACATTCTTTCTATTTCTTTCTCCAAGTCTTTGTATTAGTCTAATAATAATAATAATAATAATAATAATAATAATTATAATTATTATTATTATTATTATTATTATTGTTTTTATTTTCTTTGATTTCTGGCGTTTACACATTTCTTTCCGGGTCCCGCTCAGGGGCCTAAGGTTAGAAATGGTATCATGACACTTTCCACTGACAAAAAGAAAAAAAATTTACATAGATAAAGCCCTTCGTAATGTGTGGGCTGTACTTGTCAGAACATTTTTTTGTATCTCCTTGAGGCATGGATTTCCAGGAATCCCTTCAATTAGTCTACTGCAATCTTTTCCAACCAGTCCTAGGGCTCCAACTACAACAGGGATTGTTGATGTTCCCATATGACACATTTTCGAGATTTCTATTTCAAGGTCATTATTATTATTATTATTATTATTATTATTTGTGGTGTCATTTTGCCAGAAAGTAATTTTAAATGCCTAATTATCAA